TCAGCACTTTGTTTATTTGCATAATGAAGTGAAATTTTTCAAAATAAAAGAAGCCTTCAGAGAATACAAGTGCTTTCTTACTGAAACAGTAGTACTACAGCCTGATAATTTAGTATAGACACTAATCCCTAATCATCATTTATAACGATGGCGAAAACTGCTGTGGAACAGAGATCGAATTCTCTAATTTGCTATAACTCTCTGATTTCCTCTGTGCGATGATGGCAACATACGTCCCAATCGTAAATAACAGGAGGATCGCTAAGACCTTGAAGTGCCTGCTTTAAAGTAAGATGAGACTATGGTTAGGCTTTTATAAAAATTAAAAAAAAAAATAAAAAGTGTTTACAGTGGCGTTAAGAGTCATTAAGTTTGTAATGGTCCTAGACTGGGCCAAATATGCTCTAAGTTTAGAAAGCTATTCGTCTAGATTAGTGAGCTTTAACCTTTGTTGATTTGAAGTACCCGTAAAATTATTTTGTCGATTCACAGAACTCCTAATACTGTACAGATTTTAATGGAATTCATGCTATCCTTAGTAAGCTATCCTTAGTAAGTAAGTAAAGTAAAATTTAAAAGGAATTGAAAACGTATTAATATATTATGCACTTCATTTTAATTTTACTCATGAAAACTAACATTTTTGTATCTATAACTATGAAACACGTGAAATTTTATTCTTTATTATGAATACTAATTTACTTCGAATTATTTTAGGTAAAAATAATAAAAGAAATAAAAACAGTTATTTAATTATTTCTTTTAAATATTTAATTTTGCGGTGTACATGATATTCAAAATATCTTCCGAGCTCTGCGGAACGGCAGGTCTTGTAGGGAATCCCAGGGCTCCAATGCAGTCTCGATTTAAAGAAAAAAATGCAGCTGAAAACATCTTCATTTGATGTGTACAGCATGTTATAAAGTGCGGATGCTTACCTCTCGTTTCTAGACGAAACAAAGAAGCAAAGGAAGACAGAACTTCTGTCAACCAAATATCCGGCAGCAGAAGGAAAATCTATAAATAGCAGACCTCGCCAACAAAAGTTTCGAATCCCATAATTCGCTACTCTTTTTACGATAACCTCTTCTCTGGCAGCAATCGGAAAGTGATCGTAAAAGGAAATCAAACTTCGGCTCGAGTTCGGAAATTTCGCAGCGTAAATCAAAGAGCTTCTGGAATTTCGGTAAAAAAATCCTAACTCTCAAATCGCTTTGGTCATATTTGATTATTGTAATGGTTAATTATCCACGAAAGATATGATTTAATCTTCTTAAACAAGTTTTATTTGCTTATGACTATTAATTATTACATACCATATTTTCCGTCGAATAAGACGACGCAATTTATTAAGCAGAACTGCATATTTTATCCATAAACATTAAATTAATCATCATATTCCATCCATAATCATTAAATTTAGACATAAACTTATAATAATATGGTGTGGTCAGTATACGAAGATTATAAATTTTCGTGTAATAAAGAAACTGATCGAAGAGCGAATTAAAGCAAAGGGGCTTTATTAGAAAATATATCAAAATTAAAATATACCTTAAAGATAGGTAAATGCAAGATATTGACTGTATACCTTGTGCAGCATATTAACTGCAAAGATTTTGTGAATGGCTAGGATTCTTCTTCCGCTCTTGCGTGTTTTTCGTTAGATAATATATTCTTTGACTCTTTATTGGGTTTTATATGTTCGGAAAGATCGCTATATGAATATCTGGAATTCATGTTCTAATTTAAAAATTCCTTTAACACTTGTAATCGATCTCTTTTTAGAGCCTAAATGTTACATGCATAGTTGAAAAATTCTTTCCACTCGAGCTCATGCGTTTAGAGGCGAAACTGATTAACTAGACTCACTGGAACTCACATTTAAAAATTCCGGACATTTTTCTATCCTGGACACAAGCTTGGATGTAATTACAAATCCCGGATGTCTAGTAATATTACGCACATACGATCATACTAAATGGCATTTGTCCAATAAATGCCACGCATTATTTTTTAACGAATAAAATTGCATAGAATAATGACACAAAAATTATCTATTAAATTTGCAGGGCAAGTTCGGTAGCCGCAAGATATCGTGTTCTTTAAGAATAATTTACTGGGTAATTTGTAAAACTTCATATGAAATTTTAAAATTAAAAGATATCTGCTATTTTAAACCCTTGGGGCGAAAAAGTGTTTTAGATTATTATTGTTATATCTTTACTGTTTGTAATTGTAAGCAACCTAAGGAGTTACAGTGTAGCCATTTTTCAAATGAAGAATGTTAAAAAAAAAGTGGTTTTTCGTTATCGATTGCCTTCTTACCTACTGGTGGTAATAGAAGAAGCCCTTATTACCTATCTATTCTCTTATCCATCACGACGACCGTCCCGAAAACTGACGGATAATCGAAGTTCCACTTATAATATATGTAATAACAGAATTTATAGTGGTGCTGTAGAATAAGAAGAAGATGGATGATTGGTTACAAAGAAGATGCAGTCATGTTCCATTGATGCAGTTCTTTATTTATAGCATAGTGTTATCGACGTAAACACATACATCTAAACTGAAACAAAAGGCTCGCCCGGTTTTCCATAATTATAAGAGTACGTTCTCATATTCGTAATATTACAACGGAGGACAAAGCAAGCGTGAGGCAACGAGTATTACGTTACTGGCGTGAGATTATACTGTATTCATTCCCCGAGGAGATACTATTAAGAAGGGTACATTCTTTCCAAGTAGTTCATTTAGCTGTACTGATCAGCGATACGTTGATATAATATGAATTGTAAACGAACAATCTTTCAGACTGCTGTATACTGATAGTTCGGTTCGGGTTTAAATCCTGGTAAACGAGCTGATTACATTGAGCGTTTTCATTGTTCTCCTTGTATGTAAAATAGATAAAGGTCAGTTTTTCATACAGAGTCCTTCACGAATGCATCCCTCTCCCATTAGACTTTGCAAATCACGTGTGCTTTATCATAATTAAATATGCAATACAACGGCAAGATTTCTTCATCCTTATTGGCACCATTTCTGTTATTCTAGTCGTATGCAATATTATGCTCGTTCTAAAAATAACATCGTCGTTTTTAAGTTCTTTTGAATTAATAAATTTTTATTTGTAATAGTATTTTAGTGTTAATTGCAAAGAAATATTAATGGCAGATAATTTCCTACTGATCCATATATCAGCCAAAATGATATTTAATAGCATTTTCAGTCAAGAATTAAAGACTGAACTTATAAGGTATTTCTCCCGCCTTCCTAGCGTGCCTTCTTGGTGTAGTGGTTCTGCACGTTGGGCCAATATTCCAGAGGTCCGTGGTTCGATTTCCGACAAAGGTGATTGCTCATTTTTCATCTTGCCTGCATCTTAAAAATACCTAACGTCTCTACAAACTTCACGTTTTCTCTTTATTGATGAAAAAGATCATACGTGTTGAAATTTGGACGGGTGCCTAAATTCTTCATTTTCTTGAAACAGGGATTTAAAATGCAGCATTAAAATAAAATTTAAAAAAAACGCAGCTCTGAAATTACATGTAGCAATAAAACCTTTTAACTTCCACATATAAATAAACTATATTTATTTTCAAGAATTTTTCGATGTGCAGTAATTCTCTATTTCTATTTAACAATTTTTTTCAGTTATTTATATTTACAAAGCTGACAAATAAGACAAAAATATATTACCTACTCTAACTTTTTATGGTCCTGTATAGAAAACGCTACGAATTTCATTATGCCTACCAAAACTTACAGTTATTTAAAAGTACAACACAAACAAATGAAATAAAAATAATAACTTTAGCACTTTTTTAACATTTGAGAATTTTTTTCTTTCTTTTGTTTTTTTGGTAAATGCAATATTTGTTTTTCAAAATATTTTAAAGCGTTTACTTCTAAAAGGATACGTTTAAAGCTACAACCAATGCAATTTTGTTTCATGTTGAAGCTTAAAATTAATTCCACCGAAACTATTAGTAAAATCTCAGCTTTTAATTCGCAGTTCATCTAATGTTGAAAGGTTCTGAGATTTTACTCATCAAACGGCAACAGTTATCGCAATATCTAAGTAACTCTAAGTCATAAAAAGGTTTTAATAACCATTTTTATTAAACAGAAATTAGAATATAAATATACTTTCTCGTGCTAACAAAATCAACCACAGCTTGCGATGTTGCAACTAAACAGGAACTAGTTAAATCGTTTGCATTCTGGGAAGGAAACGGAAAGAAGTTATAGTTAAGGCTGAAATTATAAATAACTGGTAATTTAAATAATAATCTTACAAGGTTCAATATATTTCGAGAGATAAACCACATATCCTTCTTCTCCAGATAATATTTCTTTATGTATCCAAGGAAAACTGATGAAATACGCATTAATATGAGGTAGGTGTCAAAGTTGATTGATAACAAGGAATGTAATATAATCATCAATTAAGACTGGATATGTTTTGTTGAATCGTAAAGAATATCACATTCAGCATCTAATGCACATAATAATTATGATTATGTATTTGTCTCCAAATCTCTCACTACAATCAGTCAGTTGAAAAGCTAAAGAAATATTTAATAAAAATCTAATAAAAGGTTATACAAAATCTCTACCATCTTGTGTGAATTGTGTGTGTTTTCTAAAAATTAAGCTTGAACTTTTGTTTTGATGTGCTGTTTCAAATAAATATTCGTGTTATTTAAAATCTGCGCGAAAGTTAATTATTATTAAGTTATTCCTGTAAGGCATCAAGCAGTCGACATATTAACAAACAAATGCACATAAAAAAATAGAAGTTTTGTTTAATATAATATTGTTTTTTGTTATAAATGCTTTTTTTATTATGCAAACATTTGAAAATTTAAACAATTAACACGGCTCTAAATTCGCATAAGTTAACTGAGTTACAAGAACTATAAAAATTCTGCAATAAGACAGAAGCAGTTTTTAAAGGAAAAATGATTAGTAGCATATTATTTCCAGCTTCCAATATTTAATATACATATAATAAATATTACATGAAGTTATATAAAATATTAATTCAAATTTCGTTTCAAATGCATTTAAAGGTGTAATTAGTATAATAATCAAGAAATTATAACTGCAATTTACACTTTTATCAAAATGACAGTATAAATTATAAATATTAATATATACTATATATAAGTTGAAACATTTGTGACATACATCATAACTAATGAGGAATGAAAATTATAAAATCGTTCCCTCTGTGTAACAGTTCGTTGCCATTCATCATGTCTTCGCATATCATACGATATTTCTGGGCATTATTTCTTCTTTCTCGAAATTTCTTGAAAGATCTGCCATCATTTCTTTAAATAAAATAGAATCTAAGTTTTTACCCAGCATGTATAAGAAAAACCAATCACCAACATCTGTTTGAGAGATAACTTTTGCAATATGTTCTCGAAATGCGAGGCGGCACCTTGCATGCAACATCCTGGGTCTCACACTTGGCATAAGGATAACAGCTCCGCGAGAGATCAAAACCAGAAATGTTAGCATTGAAAGAGTCATGAACCAGAACCACAAAAACACGTAAATTTTTTCATTGAGAATATTTAGAGGCAGAAGGCACAAGATGTCGTGCTTTTGGATGCTTCCAGAGTACCCGAATGTATAAAAAATGCATTTGGTCATCCGTGGAAAAAGTCGTATCATGGGATCAGATCTCTCCTCCTGATCCATGCTGAGAAACTTCACTACTTCAGGACCATAAGACCAGAATTCGCCATCCAACAAAGCGTCCATCAAGCTCATTTGCCCTAGGATGTTAATGAGAGCTAAAACTTCACAGAAAATATATTTCATTGCGTATGCACGATGTTGTCCGAGGTTTCTTAGAACAAATTCGGAGATTATTTTCCTTTTCAATCTCCTTTCCTCTTCAGAAACGACTGCAAATTGCATGTTCATTGTCACAGCTCTTAGAAGTCCTCCTTCCCATACACTCCAGAGGTAGAAAGGTAAATAAAAAAAGATAGCTTGTAAGAAAAGAATGAAGCAAATCCACTGATAATAAGCATAATATTTATGCTCTGTGTGAACCGAATTGTCAATTCCCGGGTATGGAACTTCTACTCCAACTTTCTTTCTAAACGCCTTTGGTATGGTGAATGTTGGATGTATCCAGCAATACGTGTCCACTATTCTGCTGGAAGGTGAATCACCGGAACGTATGCAAGCGATGGGATCACCAAGGTATTGTCGAGAAGTCACAGCCAGACTGGCCGCTACGAGTACTGAGGAAGTCAGCATCCAGTGCAAGCGGAAGACTACATTGTCTATGCAAACAGTTCGACGGCGAAACAGCCTCCGCAGACCGCCAAAAATATCTAGCATTCTGATCAAGAGTTTTAGCTATTAATTGTAAACAGCTTTTAGAACCTTAATAGTTTTTATTTAACAAAACTGTAAAATCAGTTATGCTTACAAAAGCGATAAATTAAGATCTAATAATACGACGTAAAGGCCATCCTTTTGATGTTATTTCTAAAACTCAAATTCTTTAATAAAGTGATTCTTGAAAAAGATTTCTTTTTCAGGTAACAAAAATTGAAGCAATACCATTTCTGAAATCTGAGAACTAGTTACAATCTCGTTGACGAGAATAATATCTAAAAATGAAATAATAAAGAGTAATTAGAGTAATTCTAAATGCCATTTTTGATGTAAGTTAAGAAATACTTGAGAAGTATTTAGTGAAGTATTAGTGATTGAGAAGTATTTAGTGAACATAAACGTTTTCCTTATTTTCATTAATTTTTATAAATTTAAGTAAGAAAAAAAATGTATTAAGGTTCTAGTAACTTAAATACGATTTTTTGCTATACGTAGCCTCAATGGAATTAATTGTTTTAAAAATCGTTGCAATTGTATGAAATATTTATAGCAATGCGATTATTTGTATATATGCTAATACTATAAAGTTGCTCAATATTATTACAGGAAATTTTCGCTGAGCTGAGTGTGATTGTAGTTATAAATTCAATACTGATTTTTAAACTAAAGTTTTGGGAGTTATTTGCTATTAATTAAACTTGAAAATGTTTGCTTTGAATAAAATCTTTTAAAAAGTTGCACAAAAATATCTTGAATGATAATAACAACGAAATTCTTTACCATATATTACTTACGAATTTCGAAAACGTTCATCTAGTTTCTTTTCCAATTCAAGTAATGAAATAGAGCTATAAGCTGAAGACGTTATATTTTGTTTATGCTAGTAACATGTTTTCAAAAAATGATGATAAAAATAGCCGATATAAAATAATGATGCTATGAATACTTAAATGTGTATTTCAAGTCTATCTTAAAAGGCGAAATAGAGAAAATTAGAAAAGAAATAACACAAGACGAATGAAATGATCTTTCGAAAGCAAAATTTATGAAAGAAACATTTTCCTCGTTACTTACAGGAAGAATAGAATTGTATCAATTAATACAAAACATCCTGAAAAGAAATGTAGAAGTTTTCTAAACCTAAATTCTTTACCGAAAAATGGCAAATAAGAAATTAAGTAAAAGCTAATAAAATACTGGATTGTTTGGCTGAAAGTTTAAGAAAATATTTAACAATGTTCTTTTTTTTTTTTTTTTTTTTTTTTGTTTGTTTTTGTTTTTTGCAAAGATAAAAAACCGCATTTAATGGTAAGAATTCCTTTCAGTAAATTAACTTTTCCGTTTAGTTACCGTTAAGACATAAATTAAAGCTAACTAAAATTTCCGTTCCTTAATTGCACAATCTCTCTTTATGGATGTTTTTTATATTCCTTTTTTTATTGTTTGTTTGGTTTTCGAATATTATACGTTTAGAAGTTAAAAATATTTAATTATTTTTTGAAAGTCTATAAATGACGAAAAAAAGCAATAATTTAAAATCCAATGAATAAAAATTTTTAAATAAAAGTTAAAAAACTTAATTTGTATTTTGTGAAACTCTGATTTAACTTTAACTCATCGGAGATAAATTATGAATAAAAATTTTTAATAATTAAAAATACGAAAAAAATTCAAAACATGAAATATTACGCAAATATTTCTTTCTCCTTCTTAAACTAAAAATATCTGCTGTTGTCAAAGAATAAAAATAAATGTTTATTTTTTAATAAAACTAACTTCAAAAAGAATTTTAATTTTAAAAGGTCTTGCGTACATTTCTGTACTTCGTTTTTAATGTAAAATAGCATAAAAATATCGAAATACTAAACATATTCTCATTTGCATAAAATTAAAAAAAGAAGTATTTGTAAAGCGCTGAAATTTATATGTTGTACAAAAAATTTCATCATTATTATTCGATTTTGGGGGGGGGGGCAGAACTTGAACTGACAGTAAACCAAAGGCGTATATATTGAAATTTCGCAACTGATGTATTATAAGGCATTAGAAACATACATTATTATCACAGTTATCATATCATATAACATGAAATAACAACTCTTTCAAAATATAAAATAGCTTATTAAATGATGCATTTTTTATCTAATAAGAAGCGTTTTTTACGATATCTGACGAAATGAAAGATTTTTATGAATTATTAATTAATAAGAATGTTCCTTTGTGTTTTTTATCTTTATTTATATCGAAAAGTATTTTATTCTTACTGAAAATAACAGGCTTTCTTAAAAGTGTTAATGAAAATTTATTTCTATAATCTATAGCAGCTATTTTCAAAGAGTGCCCCCTAAAATAGCGTGATATAATAAATAAATAATAAATAAATAGACCTTTTCGAGCACACCTATCGAAAAATGTTTCGGTATTCAAGGGAAATTTATTAGATTTACCTCAAATTTAATAAACAAATTTGAAAATCGCGGAAAGAGAATGACAGCAAGAAATATAAACTGAGATGTGTTATATTCTTCCAAATAAAAATAGTTATCTAAAAACGATTTTCAATTTTAAATGGCAGAGGAAAAAATCTAACTGCTCAATCAATGCGATTGTTCATTCGGGAGCTTAGTTTCACTTACCTTCGTACGGATAAATTCTATTTATGTCTGTGGCACTGTACACACTCAACATTTTGTTACATACGCTTATAGGCCTATTTACAAGGACAAAAATTCTCAAGCATGAAATTTGAGAAAAAGAACTAAAGGTTTCTTTAGCAATGAATTGCACAGGAATTAACATCTTTTCCTAAAAAACCGAACGCTGAAAACTAGGGTTTAAAGTCTAGGAGAATAAATAGTTACAGAAAAGTATTTTCTACTCAAATTATCATCGACCGCTAATTTTTTGTGGGAGAAGAAGAGGTTTATTTAGTTTATAATTCAATTAACAAAAAGCCAAAATCTTATGAATGGAGCTATAATAATTTTTACAGAGTATCTGGAAAGTTTAAAATTATTTGCAAGTTCCCTCATAGGAAAATACAGAAAAAGAATGTTTTCAAATAGTTAAACGCAGTTACTATACCAGTATAAGCAAAGGATATCATTCAGGAACAGTAAATGCACGTATTTACCTTAGTGTTTTCAATAAGAAGTGTTCTCTAGTGGTAAAAGGAAATTTTTCTCGTTGAGTGTAAACGTAAACGAATTAACACCTGTGTGAGTACCAACCATATGCGGGCTGTGCGGAAGTCAGTTAATATTTCAAAGAAAAGGTTAATCTCCGATCAGGATCGTGTGGAAAACTGTCATAGTAATTACTAAATGCATAATTTGCATGATATTATTTGAAATTATAGAAGGTATTCTTTTTATTCATTTAATTGATTTGTTATTTTTAAATTTGTATTTATTATTTGATCTAATTAAATAGCACTGTATGCTTTGAAAAACAAGGTCGCATGCAGAAAGTTTACCATTCATGCACATTTTACTAGGAATCTTTAAAATTGTACATTTTGATAAATTAAACAAGAGAAACAAAACAATAACAAGTAAAAATAATAATAAATAAACACCAAGATAAGAACATGTATTATACATTGATAGGTAACATCCCTGATATCCTAAGTCTTGACTTCACTCCGATTTTTTCTTTGTGAAATATGAAAAGTGAAAGAAACCGTAAGCCTAATAATTCCGAGTATTCTGTGATTTCCGGAAATAAAGGACATGCGTTATTCAATCTTAAGTATTCAGTTTTAATTACGAACTTCCGATGACTTATTTCTGTGTTATGTTTATTTTCCTTTAAAGACCCTTTTCCGTTAGAGTCATTTACTGTATTTGTTGAGATCTATATTCAAGGGGTTTCGACTTCGGTAAGAGTACACACGAACAGACACAGGTAGAAGTGGTCGGGACACCTGAATTTCATTGTTGGTCATACAGATGTAGTTCTGTCTGTGTGACGTGTCCTGCCGTCCAGGGACCATCTGAGGAATAATTTAACAAATTCTTTGAGTTTAAAAAACGCTTAACTTTTTTCTAACGCAAAAATGTAAGCCCTAGTTTAGTTTAAAAGGTTCAGTACTGGTTTTACTGTGAGGTGAAACCTAGGTACCAATATACAGGGGCTAATTAAATTTTGCTCAATTTATTGCGGAACAGATACTGTACGAATACTGTAAATAAATATACAGTGAAAACTTCAGTAAGAAGAGCACGTAAAAAAATAACCTCTGCTAAAGAATAATCTCTCTGAAAACAAATTAATTACGGTATTGAACATTATAAATAATCAGATTAATCAAGTGAAGTGAAATTCAAAATAAAAAATATAATACTATTTTTACAGTAATTCACCAATGAGTAAAAAAATTAACTGTGATTAAAAAGAAGTAAATTCCCCCTTTCCTCGTTCCCCCCCCCAAAAAAAAAGAAATTTTAAGTCTTCTCAGGTTCTAACACCCCCACCCCAATTCAGCCAAATACAGCTTGATAAAATTATATAAATAAATAATGGATTAAAATACAAATAAAAACAAAACAATCCCTCGAGAGACGAGTGGATAAAACAACTGAATACAGCTGGTTGGACTCAAATGCATTGACTGCGTGGTTGTTTTGTGATGTCCATGATATGGTTCCATGCATGACATATGATCTCATTCCCGTGCATGACGTAAACACGAACCACTTTTCCTTAGTCTTCTATGAAATCCTACCCCTTAAGAAAACAGACATTGAGTGCTTAAACCGACAAAAAGTGCTTAAACCTAACAATTGTCAAAATTATCTTTCGATCTGAAATCTTCAAATCATGCGTTAACACCTCGAAAAAGTTTAACAAAAAATTTTTTCTTTAAATACAAAAAGGATAAAAAAGTGGAGAAACACTAAAAACACTTCGCATCGTCGAGAAAATTAAATTTTACGGAGCTAGGAAACATAAAAAAAAAAAAAAAAAGAAAGAAAGAAAGAAAGAATCAGCTGTGCTATAAGGTATTTCTGGGCGCGTATTCCAGAGGTCCGTAGTTCGATTCCAGGCGAAGGCGTTGCAATTTTTCATCTTTCTTGCTTCCAATTAACCTATTGTCTCTACAGTAATTTTTTTTTTTTGCAATTCGAACTCTAGATTTTCCACTTAGGCCCACCAGCGGCCGAGCGGTAAAGTCGCTGAACACTGGTAGTTCGGTCCGAGGTTCGAATCCCGCGAACGGGCTGGCTGCATGGGTGTTTTCGTGGTTT